TATATATATATATATAATCCTAGATCTCGCAAAAAGTATTTACATTGTAATCTAAAAAAATTAATTAATCACAGCAACAAATGGGACATATTTATTAGTTTTGCATTTCCGTATGAATAAGTATTTCTTACATAGATAAATATTTCTAAAAAACATAATTAGATTGTTATAAAAGAAAATATATCAAAGGAAATTTAATTTAGCATTGTAAAACTTTCAATTGAGTTCATAATAATTTATACCGATTAATATCTTTATATAAAGATATTACAATTTATAAGTTTTATGTAACAAAATATTTCAAATTTTTGTATTATTGAGAGATCTATGCCTTTCTGTTGTACAATTGACGGAATTGATTACAGTGTTTACAGTAGATACATAAGCACTATGTAAGCGATTATTTTGGCATAGTCGATTTGGTGAATCTTGGAATGCCGGAAGCAGCATACAAACTTCACATGAATATGTTCTGTTTGAAATATCTCATAAGAACTACCGCTTATAGCGCCCCTTTATTAGTTGCAGAGCTTTTGCCATCAATGGTGCTTTTGTTTTCTTTACTATATCAACAATTAAGAGAAAATATGTTAAAATATTATTATTAAAAAAAAGTTAATTTTATAATATACATACTAAATAATAATTTTTTATATGTTTATTACTATGAAAAATAATAAATTCTTAAAAATTAAAAACTAATTTCAATGTATAACTCATAATATTTTAAAAAATATGCTTAGAAGATACATTTAAAAAATCAATATGTATAAAATACTTACGTGGTTTTACACGTTGTAGAGGTGGTGGTGGAACAGAAATATTTGTAGCAGATTTTGATCCTCCACCATTAATTAATTTTTGTTTTATAGTAGACGTAGAATTTTTAGGGGCAGAATTTGCAGTACCATATTTAGCTTGATTTTTAAGAACATTTCTTGGAGGTTTAACAATATTATCTACATATGCAAGTTTAGTAGATCTTACTGGTACAGATTTATCTATTGATTGTTTTATATTAGCTGTAAGCGTTTTCAACTTTGCTTCTCTCTCATCCAAACATCGCTATTGAATAAAAAAGATATATATATATATATATAATAACAAATATAAAATGCGGTATTATTTATGAGATATTTAAGATTTATGAGATATATAAGTAACACAAATTATTCATTTCAAAATCTACCTACCATATACATCTCACGCCATGTTTCCATTTCTTCCCTTTGTTTATTTCTAAATTCGCGGTTGCAATGAAATTGCCATAATTTATCCGTATCTTCAACTAAATAAGGATTATGATGTTCCAACATAAATAATTGATCTGCTGTTGCACGTTCCAGAACAGGCTTTATTATATCAAAAGGCACACCACCAGTAAATTCAAGTGCTGTATGTAACAAATAAAATAAATATAGAAATATTTAATAAATGATTTATTTACGTTATTTAATAAATGATTCATAGATAACTTACCATCAATATTCTCTATTAATACTCTTATACATATCTCAAATAAAGTTGGTACTGTTGTATAACCAGATTTATTTCCTGAATATACTTTCGTCCTGTATAATTAAAATGAAAAAAATTAAAATTACAATGAAAAATCAATATATATATCAATATATATCTGTATAATAATATAAAACTTACCTTTGATTTTTAATATACATCACATCAGTTAAAGTTTTATCTTCTTCTTTCCGATGAACAGGATTGACATATGGCAGTGGTTTATAATTAGGACTAATTTCAGGTAATGTAGATGCCAAATCTACACTTAATGGTTCTAATTTTACATTTGTTGTTAAAAGAGATGGTGTCTGTAATAAAGAATATATTATATTTATATTTATATTTAGAAATTGTTATTGTTTTTGACTAAATATTTTAATTTAAACAATGTTATTAATTGTATAATACAAAGTACCTGTAGAGTATCATTTGTTGATTCAGTTTTCACTGCTGTTTTTTTGTTACTTGTGGTTGGTTGTTCTCCTTTAAACATTTTCGCTGCGTTCGTATTTGGAGTATTGCTATTACGTTTTTTAGATGTTTGGGCCATTGTACACATACCCAATGCTTCTGCAAAAGTAGCTCCTAAACGGCAGAAAAAACTTTTTAAAAATAATAATTTAAATTATAATATAAAAGAACTAATTTTTTAAAAAATAAATATCCATTGAAAGTTTCTAAAAAATTATAAAATAAATATAACAGTAAAAACTATATTACGTAAAATATTTACAAATTAATAAAAAATATAATAGATTTTAAGGTAAACTACTAAAATCAAAAAAGTGTGTTTAAAATTAAAATATAATATAATTATAAAAAACAAACTAAATAAAATGCAAAATGAAGTAATATACTGAATATCCCAGCCATCGCAGAGCAGGAGGTGATGCTTCATATAAAAATAAATAAAAAATAAAAAGATGAAATAAAATGAAACTGAGGCTTCATTTAAAAAAAAAGGAACAATTTTAATATATTTATGTGAGTTGTTGATCATATTTATAAACATAAGATTATCATTGAATCCTGACCTTCAAAATAATCGTTAAATTAATAAAGTTAATTTTAAAAATAATATTAAAAATATTCTTACAATTTCAATCAAATACAAAATGAACAAAATGTGTGATAATTATACATTGAACAATAAATAGTATAGCAATAACATTATTGTTTACGTATATTCATAAATATTAACACGAGCAAAGAAAAAAAGCGATTAAGTTGAAGTTTAACACATATTTAACAAATTTCCAAAATTATTTTTTTGAAGCCTCATATAAAAAAATTTTATGCTATAGTTTCAATTTATTTTTACAGAAATTACAAATTCTGCTTGGTCATATCACGATGACTGAAACAGTCTGAATAGTTATGTATGTAGTAGTTGCAATGATTACTACACTAAAATATAATTATGTATCCATTAATATTGATCTTAATACCGAAAATACTAAGTTATATAATTAAAAATATACTTCATATAACAGAATATGTTAAACAATTTAATATAAGCACGTAAGAATATAATAAAAAATATAATTTATTCAATACTTTTAAATTTAAGAAATAAATAAATAATACAATCATCTTTTTTGGTGAACATGAAACAACTGAATGTGAACGTGAATGTGAACAACACTAAATGAAAACATTTATAAATAACATGTTTATAAACTAACCAGAGTGGCAATCTATTCCTTCATCACCATTTATTTCTTGCTTTATCATTTTTATCAAATCCTTTGATTCTTTTGATCCATGTTTGG